GGCCGTGAAGGCGGAGGGGGACCCTGCCTTGGCGGACTCGAGGTATTGGGGGCGAAATTTGAAGAAATCGTGCACACGTTGTTCTCGGGGCGCGGGGCCATGGCAACGGAAATTCTATTATAGTCGCAGTGGTTGCATTTGTAATCAAAATAATATGTTACAAAAAACATAGCAATAATAACACCTTTAATAACAATAATAGTTGTAATATTAATAGTTTCTAAAACGCTTTGTGAAATCGCATGATGCGAAATATTTTTGTTGATGTTTGGGAAATGGCACATCATTAGTACAAATTTAACTAGAAAAGAGAGGAATACAAGGACTAAATGGACGTCGACGTGCCAGTGTTTTGCACGGCACCGCATCGGGAGATCGTAAAAATAACAAAATATTAGCCTACAGTACGAACTGCTAAAGACCACTGCGACACTGCTGGAAACAGACCATACGATCGTATTCTGCATCCCATTCAAAAGTGACATTTTTTGAGAATTGCCTATTCCCTGCAAAATATATTATCATGGATCTGTCCTCTAGAAACCGATTTTCAATTCTTTCTGAATCTGTTAAAAACATCTCATTATAGGCAGACGCCCATTGGGGGGTCTATGTCAGCCATATTAATATTTTTCGGCTATTCGCGTAAAATGTAACACAGCTCTCGTCTCTTCGAGGGTAGCCAACTATGAGAGTTCTCCTGTGAAGTTTTGTTTCGTAGTCCTCTTCGTCCTTTCTTATTTGTCCTGTTTGGTATTATCTTCTTTCTCACCCCATTTGCTTTTTGGAAATCTTTTCTGAGTTTGTCAATTAAACTTAGGTTCTCTATACGTTTTTCTCAGTTTTTTATGATTTTGATCTAATCATTGTCTTTTTAATTTATAATTTAATTGTTCTTAATTTTCTCCCCTACTTCTTTTTTCTTTTTTTCTGCTCCTCTACTCTTCTACCATACCTGTATTTATTTTATTTCTCCGTTTGCCCTTTTAACGAATTCCTGTTTCTTCGTTTTCGTCCTCTCGTTTCCTTCTTACAAAAACAGATCTGAGGAAGGTGCACGTGTGGCCGGTCCGCGGGGTGGCGTCACAGTGTTTTCGCCGGCGAAGGGGGGAAGGAGGAGGGGCGATGACGGAAAGGGAAGAAAGAAGGGGAAAGAGGAGGGGTGATTGCGGAGGGAGGAAGGAGGAGGGGAATGGCGGAGGACGAAGGGAGGATGGGCATGGCGGAAAGGGAGGAAGAGGGGCGATGACGGAGGGGAAAGGAGGAGGGTGATGGCGGAAGGGGCAAGGAGGAGAGGGATGCGGCGAAAAGCGCGCCAGGCGGCTGTCAGCGCGGCGACCCACAATTAGCTGTTTACACCCTGGGCGCTGACGCGACCGCCGCGGGCGACGGGGGCGAGGCGCCCTTGTGGGGAAGGTCGGGGCGACAGGAAGCAGCTGCCACGCCCACTCCGCGCCCCGCGCCTCCCGCCACAGGCAGACTCAGGTCGAGGATGCGTATGGGCGACACGCGATGTGCCAACGCGCGGCCGAGTTCACAGGCGACACTTTTGGCGACGTTAAGAAGTTTCTGCACGGCATAGCGTACATCTATTGACAACACTAACAATATTGAGTTTGCGCACGTCGTAGCGTCAGCACTATCGATCATATGCGCATGCGCAGGTGCACTAAAATGGCGTGAAACTTGAATTGCGAATGAGCTGCAGATCGATAGTTCTTTAACGTTCTAGATGACACATACTCCCTATTTGCGCAAAAGCACAAAAGGGGATGCGAAACTCGAACTGCGCATGCGTACAAGATCGATATTGCTGTCGACTGCCTGAACGTTCCAGGGTGCAAAAGATCTCTTATAATCTGATGCGATTAAGGATGCAACAACGACATTACCAAAAACAAATGTTTAAAATTAAATCATAGATGTTAATAATACTTCCTTCTTGCTCTCCTTTTTTCTCTCTCCTTCCCTCTCCCTCCCTCTCTCTCTTTCTTTCTCTGACTTTCTCTCCCTTTCCCGCTTTCTTCTGTCACTATATTTCTCTTTCTTTCACACGCACATACGTACATACATCACATACAGTTTCTCTGTGCATCACTGTTTCTCTGTCATTCTCCAACAGCGCTAAAGCCCAAGTCGTCTGATAGCCTGACATTTGCTACCTC